AAGGAGTCCCCCTAGGGATCGTATCATGAGTGGGCTTTCAAAAGGGATGATTGAGGACAAATAGAGAATTTTCTCTGTTGGAGTCATATGAGATGGGATAAATGGAAATTGCCTAGATAGGATCCGTTGCTTGCTGACTTCTAGACCAAAATCTATGTTAGGAAACAGGACAATTTCTGGTTTTCCTGCATTTTTTTCACCAGCAGTAGCTGTTAGGTTGGTCAGGAATTGGGCAATATTCTGGTCCTGTTTTGCACTGGTCACTATGCATTGAGGATTAACTTCCCCTACCACTTTATGCAGTAGCTTGAGGTCTTCATTATCAGGTGTGTCAGGCATGCAGTAAACTGAGCAGTCTTCTGTATCATAGTAAGTAATTGCAAGCTGGCCTGCATACCACAAAACAGACATGTGTGTCTCAGAGCACTCTTGGTCTTCTTGTTCGGGCCCAAGCGGTGGTGGTAAGGCACAACTCGTGGCTGATGTGGCACTCATTCTCTTGGGGAAAGATGTTTTTATTCACAACTCATCCAAAAAGTCCTGAGAAGTACCTGTAATTGACAACAGCAGGTTAACACTCATTTTTCCAACCCTGGAGAAACTAAGAAACTACCAGGAATTAAAGACAGGTGGTTCCTGTTCAAGTGAAAAGATGCAGCCCATAACTACAGCCACCATCTTACTTCCAAGGAAGGCGTAACTGAGCTAACTACCAGCCATGCTGGAGTAGTTCTACAATTTTTCTTTGTATCCTTTATTTTACTAAGTGTATATATATACATGCCCAAATACCCATAAATACAGTAGCGTACATTGTACAAAATCCTGCTCCCTCAGAGGTATGGGACACCCACCTGCACTGACCACTGATCCTCGCAGTGATGCAGCCACATAAACTGGTCATGGTTTCAGGGCCCTACTCAGTATTTATGCAGCACCATCACATAGCACTGGTTTCTAGACAAGCACACAGAGTACTGCTGCAGGAATCAACCCTACCAAACAGTTTCCCCTGTCCGGAACCCATTTCCAACACTCTCCCGCTTCTTCCCTGCTCTACTCACCCTCCTCACCACAGACAGGCGGCCCGTCTCGGCTGCTTCATTTCCTTGCAGCCCAGAAGTTTTAGCTTGAGCCCCTTTTCCCTCCCTGGCCGGGCAGGTGCTTAGCGCTCACTGCGTTCAGGCCTCTCCGCCGGGTCCTGTTAGGATGGCGCCGCGCTGTGGCGCTGAGCACCGTCCCCGAAGCCAGGCCACGGCCAACCCCCTCCCGCTCCTACCGCGCTGCTGCTAACCTCCGGTTGCGCCCCGCTGCCGGGGGCTGATCGCCGCCCTCTCCTGGCAGCAAGTCCCTGCCTTCGTGCGGGGAATGGGCTCTCAACCTCCCTCGCGGCCTCCCGGCTGAATGCGAGCACCCTCTCCTCGGGGCTGGAGCTCCCGCCAGCGCCGGCTCCGGGAGCGGCGCCTACCACCGTCCCCGGCCCCCTCCGAGCCCCGCGCTGAGGAGGAGGGAGAGGGCACGGGTAGAAGCAGCCCCCTGAGCAGCCCAGCCCACTGGCTTGTCATGGACACCAAGTATCCCCTCCTGCCTGGCATCTCCATGACCTGTCTCTGCACCTCTTGCCTGTGCTCCAGTGGGACTCATGGCCGTCCCTACCCACTGCCTGGCTCTCCACTGCTCACCTCTTTCTCCCGTTGCAGCTTCTGCAGTTCACTTCATGAGCTACTTTGAGCAACTGTAAATGAGTCTTTGTATGCAGCCCTTGCCTTCAGAGTGCTGGGCACACGCCAGGTGTTTGGAGGTAGGCGTTGTGGCTGTGGGGTACATGGAAACTGAAGCTCACTTGGCAGCCATCTTAAGGCCTGTCACCACTTGATCCTTCCTGCCCCTGGTCCCACAAAGGGGCAGATGCTGCCTGGCCACTTGCTCACAGCAGCCACAGGGACTCTGTGCAGCAGGAGGTTGCAACTGCAGGTTGGGGATGGCAGGCTGCACCTTCCCCACCTGCATACAGAGGAGGTGCAGACAGAGAGTTAACAGACATGACAGGGCTACTGAAGGCTGTCTCCTTGGTGCCTTGCCAGTCTTGCAAGAGCTCAACATGCCATGCTTCTCCAGGCCCACATTACACAGCCATGTCCCATTATAGGCATCCATTTGCTACAGTGCTTCCTCAAGAGGCAGGTATCATCCTCCTCTCTTTCCAGCACAAAATGCTTCAAAATGGCCTCTCAAGTACTTTGTTTCTCACCCTCCCCCAATTATAGCATATCTCTATAGTCAGCATCTATAACTTTCCTATGTGCTAATTACTCTCTCATCTCCACTGCTCTAAACCCTTTCAATTATGAAATGAACCATGACCTTCCCATGCAGACACCTGCATTGTTTCATCCTTCTGCATCTCATTGTAAACATCACTTCAGAAATTGCTGCAAGTTACAAAAAATGTCATTCAGTTTTCCCATGGCTGTTTTTCCAAATATCTTTCAGTAGTTCATCACGAGCATAAATAATTTCCTCTGAATTCAATGTTTGATTCACACCTTACCATTCTGCTTTTGACAAGCAACATCCCAACCTCTTGTAATTTTTTTTTTTATTGGAGGGGGAAGTGGTGATTTTGATTTTTTCTTAATTTCATTCCACATGTACTCAAGGCTTCAAATTTTGACAAGTGTACTCCTGGCTGAGAAGGTCTTTTTTTTATTACTGATTGCAGTCTACATGTATTTCAAAGAACTGACAGCCAGAAAGCAAAGAATGATGATTTAAGTTCAAAATAACCTTAGTGCTTAAGGATTAATCTAGCTATAGAATATCAAATTTTAAATAATGACAGTGAGGCTGGAGTAAATGTAGACTTCCAGGGAGGTATATCTGAAATTAAAAGCATCCACCACTAGATGTCATCGTTTCAGAGATTAAGGAAATGGAAAGACACTTTTGACCTCCTCTGAATTAGAATTTAGGAGACCAAAAGTCTCTGAATTAGACTTTAGAGAACCAAATGTGCGGATAATTAATCAAACAAAGTGCTTCTGAAATCAATTATTTTGCACCTAAGTAAAAGCTCAGTAGAAATACCAACACTGAGCCTGTCTTGCATATGAGTAATGGTGAATGAAGCACTACAAGAAATGCTTGAGTGTGGTGTTCACATGAACGGATATAGTGTAAGGATGTGAAGAAGAAGACAGTGTCTGTCCACTTTAGGGTGTCTGGTAAGGGACCTTTTCAGTGCAGAAAGGGATAATGAGTAAAAGAGGAGGCCCTAAACAACACACAGAGACACAAACCTAAGCAATGTACAGTAAGGGAGGCAGTAACAAGAGTCAAAGCTGGTGAGCCACACAGACTGATAAGGACATGTGGAGTGTGGGGATCTTTATTTCAGTAGGATTGTCTGGTTGGGGACTTTGTCAAATTGAATGGTAGAGGAAAGAGAGAAGCCATAAACAAAATACAGAGAGGCACAGATCTTTCAAACATAACACACAAAGCCAGGAAACAAATCTTGTTAGTCACACTAATTGATGGGCTAGCAAGAAACTGCAGGCAAACTGGGACTTTGCAGCTGTTGGGGATGTAAAGCTGAGGGTCTAAGGTGTTGGTGCGTCAGTGTGACTGTGCAAATGGATAGGGGATGTGCAGGGTAAGGGGATCAGGGAGGAGCAAAGGACAAGTAGACAGAAAGAAGCGTAAAAGGGGCTGGTTGTGTGTAAAATGGGGCTGATGGGAACGATTGTCTGACCAAGCTGTTGTGCTGGGTGCTGGCTGGTGGGGGCAAATATGTGCATCTTCCCCAAATCAACTGTGTGTGAGGGGTGCAGGTGTTCACTGCCAAACCTCAAGTTGGACCAGCTGGCGAGTGGGGGGAACCTGTGGAATGCGTAAGGGGGCCTGGGATCTGGGCAGAGGTGCTGGGTGGGCAGAAGGGCTGTGATGGTGCTTGGTGGATGCACAAATGTGTGTGTGTTTGTGAACCTGGAATCATGTGCGTGCCTGCACTAGTGACCTTCTGTGTCTGCCGGGGCGATCTGCGCTTGTGTCTCATGTGAGCTTGTATGTGGGTGCTGTTGAAGGCAGTGCCTTGGCTGTGTAGCTGGCCGTGCCCATGTCCTCTGAGCATGTGTGTGTGTCTCTGGGATGTGAGAGCAGCAGGTACATCCACCAGAGACCCTGGGTACCCAGGGCACTGGGCTGGGCTCCAGCAGGCGGGCAGTAGGGCGCCCTGGAGCTGCTGAAGGCAGTGATTTCTCCTAACATCCTTTAGCATATAGTAATGATTTTTACAAAGCAAACAGCATTATTCTGAGGTAGACTGAAGGAGAAAATACTGAATTTCTACAGAGATCATTCACTTTTATTGAAAATACAATGGAATGAGGAGCCCTAAACCCTTCAAATAACTATGGAAATGAGGTCTTCTGAAAACAGCCTAATAGAATATTTATGTTCCACTTTGTATATGCAAAGCTACCTAATGATACTGGTATTATAAATCACGGCAAGCTTTTTAGATTTGCTGAGATAAAGAGCGTAGTGCTAGTTAAGTACAACCACATTTTCCTGTTTGGTGATTTTTAAAGACCTAGAAAACTGGCCTTGACAAACATTTGAGATTCTTCCTTGTAGTAGCATGCCCAGTGATGACAGCAAGAATAATTTCCAGTTACATATTCCATGAATACTGTGGCAAACCATTGGAAGTTAATGCAGTTGTAGCATTGTGTATGTTGATTTGTTTCCTACAGGACTGAAGAACGACGGGTAGAAAGGAGGTGTAATGACACTTTTATTTCCTTGTTTAAGTTCTGTAGCAGACAGTTTTAACTAAAACATAACATCTGGCGTATTATTTTTTCAGTATTTTTGCATCTTGAAGTAGTTTTCCATCCTAACTATACCTCTGGTTAAAATGAAAATTATAGGAATTAAATATAAAATTTCAGTGTTCTATTAGAATGCCCAATTGAATTTTTTGTTGCTATTTAAAGGTGAAAAAAATTGACTCAAGCCTGTATGAAGATTTTAAAAGTCATTACTTTGGAGATGAAATCCTACACTGCCTAGATCTTTGCTCCATGTTGAAAAAAAAGCAACCAAATGGTTACTACTACTGTGAGTCCTCTATTGTTTTTAGTAAGTACATCTTCACTCTCCTCTTATATCAATTGTGCCTATAAGTTATATGCCTGAAAAGCCATTTTTTCCGCAGTCTATGTTAGGCGATTCTTGTAATAATATCCATGGAGTCTGACAGAAGCCTGTCGTTTAATCCTGACTCCCTAGGAACACTGCAAGTGCTTCTTGCTGACAGCTAAAGTTTATGTTCGACTGTCCATCCCCAGAATCCAGTTCCATTTCTCATCCTAAAATGAGTGTTTTCAAGTGAGATGTATCACTTGCCGGAGCTGCTCATCTCTTTGTTGACTATAAAGACAGCCTGTGTGACTAAGTTAGATTAGATGCAGTAATTATAGATTATTAAAGCTAAGTGAAATGTCTCTGGTTTGGCAGAGATGTGACCTTACTTGAACTATATTCATACACAGAGAGAATTTCACTGGTACAACAGATTTAATAGTAACTGTACAGAATACCATCAAGACTTTAAAGATTGTAGATACATGTTGCCTAGATCATTACAGTGCTGGAAATCACAGTTGTGTCCTCCTGCTTTACCTGAAGAGAAGCTTCACTTCCCTACAATTAATATTCTAGACTTGTCTTCTCATTTCTGCAAGAAATCGTCTATAGCTGGAACTTCAGGTGGTACACTGTGGACTGAGAGACTATGAGATAATGGCTTGTACAATGAACCTCTCTGTGATGGTTAGTTCCCAGTAGCTGACAGTAAATGTAGGGGCTGTTATTAGTCATACTCTCTACAACTACCTGACGGGAGGTTGCAGCAAGGTGGATGTTGGTCTCTTCTCCCAAGTAACTAGGGATAGGATGAGAGGAAATGGCCTCAAGTTGTACCAGAGGAGGTTTAGATTGGATATTAGGAAAAATTTCTTTACTGAAAGAGTGGTCAAGCTGGAATAGGCCGCCCAGGGAAGTGGTGGAGTCACCATCCCTGGAGGTGTTCAAAAAACATGTAGATGTGGCACTTCAGGACATGGTTTAGTGGGCATGGTGGTGATGGGTTGATGGTTGGACCTGATGATCTTAGAGGTCTTTTCCAACCTTAACGATTCTATGATTCTGTATTAAGAACATGAGTTAAAACACTCTAAATGGAATACCTAGAGAATGTTGAGGATTTTTTCTTGATACAGTCACCTCTTTTAATCTAGGAGTGTACTGTGTGATCTTTTGGGAATATCTTTAAACATACCATTCCTGCAACTGCAGATCTTTAAGAAATCAGATTACATGGGAAGATGGTCAAGTAGTAATACAGCAAAATACAAAATTTTTAACATTGCTTTTTCCACCTGTCCTAATTAGGCTGACTCTTAATATATGTCATGTTCAAGGTCAGTCTCAAAAGACAGTTTTATAGCAGAGAACAGGCCATGTATGTGTCCTCTAATAAGAAAGAAATATGAAAAATCTTTTACAAGAAGCCTCAACAACAAAGTGCTTACTTAAAGATGATGATAAATTTGTTCTCATATACCTTGCAACATTTTCCAGATTCCTGGTAATTAAGCAGAAATATTAAAAAAATATATATAACTGACCAGAAATCATTCCAACAAGCAAATTATTCTGTGGATCTAACATTTCCCACTCCAAAGCATACTAGCCTTAGTAATGAAAACATTCATGACCAAGGAATAATCATATCCTCTGAAAGAAAGTACAAAACATGCATCATCAGGAAAATCTTCCAAGAGTGTTGCCATCCCAACCAGCCGAATAGAAATATCATCACTGGAATCTTTGCCTGTGTGGACAGTTTTAAAGGAAATCCCTGTCTTCATCCTTAAGTAACAAGGAATCTCAAAAAAATGAAAACTTCTATCTGTTATGAAGATACATCCCTAAGCAGTAAGAAATCTCAAGAGTTGAAAACTACTGCTTATTATGAAAGTACATTGTTAAGAACTAAGACATCTCAGGAAGATGAAGACTTTATGAAGGCACCATGTCCATCCCCAAGTTCTGCAAAACCTTTAAAGGTATGATGAGCATAAAATAAAAGGAAAACTTCTCATCCAGTCACCTCCTCTTGTTGAGCTAATTTTGATGGAAAGATTCAGCTTACAAAAGCTTATAATTGACAGAAATACATGGAAATGATACATTATACTCCATTTTTCCTAAGCACGTATTGTTTTTTCCATCATCATGAAAAACTATACCCAGTTAATAGGCAAGTTATATCTGGTTATGCCTGGTGCCTCGTCTGCTGCTTTTTAGCTGCTTTGCAAAATCTGGATTGTTTAATTCTTAATGCTATCAAAACTAGCTCTATGTTGGAGACAAAGGGTGTCCATGAGCAGTTAGTACTACTTCTAAATTCCTGTTGTTTGGACCAGCTTTACATAAATACTGCTATTGAAATTTGGTGCTGCTTCCAGGGCTCTGTGCAGGGCTTTGGTGGCAACTTGGTTTCTGCCTTGTGGTAATTTGTTGCCCTGTGCTGCAGCGTTGCTAGTGGAAGTGCTCACTGTTTTTAGGACTTATGATTAAATACCTATACAATACTTTGAACATGTAAGGCACTCTGTAAATGCTAAATATCAGTTCCCGTTAATGTTTTTGTTTGTACTTAGGGCCACCTTTATTTGGCTTAGTTAAACTCTTGCAAAACAAATCAAAGCCATACAGAGAAAAAAAATAAGTAGGAAGTCTGTTTAAATTAGTGACAACACTATTGCAAAATCCAGACAAGTCCAAATTAAAGTGAGATATTTATATGTATCTATCTAAATATGTTATCCTATTTATTACCTTGTGTTATGCATTTCTCTTTGTTATGTTTGTATCTGCGTATATAACCATATATCTAATGTCTTCTGTATATGTTTGTACATTCAAATACGGATTTATGTGCATCCAGATGCTTAGAGAAATAGAAATTACAAGGTTATTTAACATGGTGTAAGAAATTTCATTCAAGTGAAATTGAGGCTCCACTATTCACAGATATACTTCAGAATATCTTGGAATGTGTATCTGATTAAGGAATTTGCTAAATAACTCATTACATTAAAAAGCTGTTTAGTAGTTTATTTGGTAGATATTGACAGTGTTTTTTCAAAACGTTTATTTGAATCTCTCTTCTTGAACTTGTCTTCTTACTGACATCTCAGAATGCTAACATGACAGTCAGTCCTTCAGCTGTCTTTTGAATGTGAGTCCCATTAAATGGTTTATAACAGCAGTCAATCAACTGGTATTCAAAGCAAGAGTCAGATGCTTGTTTGGCTTTAACTCAATCCTGGTGTGACAGTGCGTAAAGAATTTATGGGAAGGTTCATTTCCACATTCTGAACAGAATTCTCCTCTGAATTATTTTTACATGGGTACTACATCTGGCTTTCTCTAGCCACAATATTTGAATGGATGTTCTTCACTGATACCAAATTAACGAAATGTAGTATTATTATCCCTGCTTTTCTGAGTCCTATATGGGCATAGATGCATCTAGCCCAAATACATGCATTTATTTTTTCTGGTTTTGTACATGTTAATATACAGTTATCTAAAGCCAATTGGAAAAGGAAAAACAGATATGTTGGAACAGAGTTTAAATGGCTTATTTTTTAATTTGAGAGAAAAAGAATCTATATTTTAATGAATTATTTTTAAAAAATTAAATGTTTTAAAAAGTGATTTGAATAGGGGTTTTGGTAACTATAGGTAATTAGGACATTAAAATAAACACAGGGAGTTAATGCGGTTCTATTAATATATCAGAAATAGTGAAAATTGCAAATTACTTAATACAGACAAAACACTGTATCTAGTTCTAGTTTTTTCTAGATGTATGTATACTCAAGCAGTTACCTTCTTTCTTTGAAGTGCACAGAAAATACAAAGACTTTTTCTTACCTAGAGTTTGGGCCAGGCTTGAGCGTTATGCCTGTAATAAGATGAAAAGATCTAAAAAGGGTTCAGAACTAATATTAGAAACAGAATTCCAATACTGAAAGTATGTAAAACCTCGTCACCTTCTGTGGTTTGTGATTCTGTAATTATGAGGTATGTAGTATTTGCTTTATTGTACAAGGTACTTTTTCCTATTTTCTTTTAAAAATACCATAAGGTAATTCTATTCTAAAGGCTATTGTCTTTTTATTTTTCAACAAAACGCTGTTTGAAGTAGTGATGTGTTTTCATGCCAGAGCTGTTATCAGTAGCTGAAAAGAAGTGAAAATAATTTCCCACAAATGACTTTTCAGGAGTATGTGCAGACAATGGGATAAAACTGATGAAGTAAATCTGACAGGAAAGCACAAAAGCACATTTGACATCAGTAGGAATGTAATTCATGACTGAAAATTGAGAGGATTATTAAAAAAAGATGGAATTGATTTTTCACAACATAACATAGTATGCTATAAAATACAGTTTAGTAAGTCTAGCAGGTTTTCCTGTGTCTTAAATATTTCTGCTTTAAAGGCAGTTTTCCCTAAGCAGACTTTGGTGTCCAAGCAACTAATTTATTGCTAAATTTAATATATTAGAAATACGTTGAAAAGATGTATAATATTAATTTCAAGATATGTTAATTGCAAAAAGTAAACAGACTGCCTAGGACGTGAGGAGTAAATTCACTGTGTAATGTTCTTTCCTTGGCTAGATCAGTAAAAGATAATTACTTTTTATTCTTAAAATTTTCCTAGCTAGGATGTTGCTTTTGTTGATATGTATTTATTGTATAGTCTTAACATCAAACAGACAGTATGTTTGATTTACCATAATTGAATTAAGCTCTTCTGCACATCCTGTGAGGAGTGTTTTTCAGTAGTGAGATAGATGGTCATGGAAAACCAGTTTTCCATTGTTCAAATGTCCCCATTTTTCAATTGTTAAGTCATTCTTGCAGACCTGAAGAGCTTCCAGTGTGCTGCATTGGTTACACAGACTCTACTATTGCTTCCTACCTCATCCCTGTGAGGTATTCTAAAATAAGACATGGTTGCAGATCAATAGTGATCTATACTTCAGGGCTGATACAG